CCTCAAAATATAAAGTACTTTCTATCTGCATGAGATATGGGATCCTTATTTACTGAATTTAATAAAATAATGTGTTAATCGTATTTATTTTGAGAACCCTTGACATTTCTTCCTCCTAACATTATCAATTGATAGCTGAATAATTCACATTATTATTACTATTTTGATAGCACTTTATTCTCACCTTTTAAACAGTTTGGGTTTTGATTGCACTTTTCTGAAGAATACTTTCAGGTTGTGGAAAGGTGTTTGTAAGAAGTCCTTTAAGTCTTCCCAGACTGGCTTCAAACTATCCTCTCCTTTATTTCTAAAGTGCTGGGACCTAGCATAATTCAGAGCTCCCTGTTCTGGTCATGTAGTTTCTCTTTATCTCCTTTCAATGCCTAAGAGATTTATTTTTGTTTAGCTTTCTCTCTCCATTCAAATTGAGATTACTACTATTGAGATTACTATTATTAAGATTCTTTTAGAGAACAGAATCCCACTCTTTATTTTTGGCTTCTGGATGACTATGCTTAATAATTACATGTAACCACTTAACTTTGTAATATATTCCCCATATTTCCCTTCCAGCTGACCTAACACTTTCATACAGTAACATACTACAAAGTTCACTAACCCTTTTTATCTAGAGGCATAACTGGGGCTCTGTGTTACTGAATCTCTGAAGTCTACATCAATCCTTCTAAGCAAACTTCTTTTCAAATGCAGATAAAGTAGAGTACTTATTCTCAACTTGATGAAGAAAGATCCCTTGCCTCCTTTATTATGTGCTTTATGATATTTCTTTTATAATTTTAAATGGTGAGAAATCCTCACGCTTAACTTTCATGGTGTTTAAAATCTACATTGAATTCAAAACCAGCCAAATCATGTTCCAGAGTGGATGAATCACAGCTGACTTGCCTCTTAATGGAGTGTGAATATAATTCTGTCCCGAAGTCTGTGCAAATCTCTTTTGTGGCAGCTTTTCACTCAAGGCTCACTGTGTTTGTCTGTACGAGGTGGCTTTCTTTCACATTGCAGGTTAATGTTAGGTAGCAAGGGCACATGCACAAGCTGGAGGTCTGTCAGGAGTGCATGCACTGTATGTGCACTTGCCATGTGTACACATGGACACATGCCATCTAAATTAGTATGTGCAGGACTTTTGGGCTGTAAACCTCTGCAGATGTCAGTAGTAACACCTGCTTGAGGAGACTCATACCCCTGAAAGACTCTCAGTCATTTACATGTAACTGCTCCTATGGTTTTGGAAGCTGAATCAAGTTAGACACCAGCTGACAAAAAAACAAAGTAGCTACTTTTTACACACATTCCAGGTCACTGCTTGGCCCCACATGTAGGCACACCTAAAAGTGTGGGTTGTGAGCATGAGCAACTGCTTAAACTTGCTGCTCAAACTCTGCTGTTGTAAGACACATAGCTGTGCAGCCTGCCTCTTCAGTTACCTTGAATTAACAACCAGGCAGACAACCTAGATCACAGACCCTCTGTGGTCTAAGGCCCTGATTCAGAAACGTGTTTAAGTGCATGCTTCAGTTTACCCTTTCTGTGCAATGTACATATGTAATGTTTAGCCTTAAGCATATGCTGAAGTCCTATTGGAATAATTTTGCAAGGGACTGTGATACTGTTTATCCCAGCCACTCTATGTAGAGAACTTTATTAAATAAAAATGTTGGATTTATCTCTTAGGTTTCTGTTATTAGGTCTAAGATGTGGCTTGCTACTGAAATGTTGTAGTGAAAGTATAAATTACTTTGAAAGCCTCTATAAAACACTCCTTTTATCCTGCCATGTTTTCCATTAGCAATTCACCACAAAGAAAGTATTTCACCAATTCAGAAATAAAGCCAAGCAGCATCTTAAGCTGCATTGCCTGTATGCCCAAGAGTTGCTGTTTCAGAAAGTGTTGTTAGGTATTTTGCTACTGTAGAACTGAAAGCAACTAAAAACAGTCACACAGCAGGTGCCTAATCAATCTGGCAGCACACCTCTGTGCCATGAAAGATCTATTCTTCTTCTCTATAGCTTGATCTAGATGTTGTATGAATGCTATATGGCTTCCATGCCCAGAAATACATATGACCAAGTATGGGTCTGGCTTAGTGCATTCCAGGGCAGAAAATGTTGTTGCTATGTTTTACACCTGGCTGCTAAGAGTGATGTTTGTTTAGAAAAGCTGCTTAACTGTCTCTGACTGGTGGGCAAACTCACTATTTGAACCCCTATGTCAAATCAGGGATATTTTTTGAAAAGATGATAAAGAAAGATGTCCCATCCTCACTTCTTGCTCTGTTATGTATAGGAATATCTAGACTGTTGGCAAATTACAAGTAGAATTTTCCCCTGCTGTAAAAAATAAATAATTAAACTAGCTGGGGATTATAATTACTATATATTGGATAAATGCCATATTCCTTATCAGATAATGCTTTTTGTTCTAAATGGTTGGCGTGACCTCACAAAAGAAAATGCATTTAATATATTACCAGCATCTCCTCATCAAAATCCACAGTATTCAGAAACACAGTAGTGCACATAGGAGGAGGCAAGACAATTAAGGGTTTTCGCTCTGCCTACCTTCTTCTGGAAGCAGTTAATTTCCACCACAAAATTAGTCTCTCCTAGCAAAAACAAAGTATGGCACCTTTGCTTTCTTTGAGTTGGTGGGAAATTGCCGTTGACTCTGAACCAGAATTTAACCTTAGGGACAGAGATTTGGATCTCTGGGATTGAAAAAATATTAGTTTAAAGGTAAGAATAGAGTGAAGTTAAAGAAACAATGACTATCTGTGCCTGCAAAGTGCCTGAAACTGTTGGTCTACAGCTTGTCTGTTGCTTTGTGCGTGGTATTTTTCACACACACAGGTTCAGAAGGAAGGGTCAACATTATAAAGAAATAGTAGTTGCGGAGCCGCGGACGAACGACACGCCGAGACGGGTTCAGTGTGGGTGATAGAGCATCAATCAACGTGTGTGTTTATTGGTCTAGGGTACATATATTTATACAGACAATGATAATTATTATGCCTACTAGTCACTAGCTGATTGGCTTAAGCTCTAAAGGTCGTATTCGCACGGTCCACCTACTTGCAGTTAGTTTACAGCACAAGCTTCTCATAACACTAAGTTTCTCATGCTACTATTTCTGATTCCTCTTGACTTGTTTTCGATACATGACAGTACCGTAACACAATGTTTCTCAGACCACCATTATCATAACACTGGGTTTCTCAGACCACTATTCCTAATTCCCCTTAACCTGTTTTCGACACACCACGGTACACAGGGCTGAAGCGTCCTTGACATTCCTCCTGTATCAGCAGCTGTGAGCAGCTGCAGGCAAACCCTAGTGAGGCTCAGCATCAGCAGCTAGAGCAGGCTCTGATCATACAATTGCTCGGTGGCTCAGGACCCTTGTCTCTGAGCCATTCTCCAACAATTCCCCCTTTTTCTTTTTGTATGAGCAGAGCCTGCACCAACGTTCGTTCAAAGATTTTCTTAATACATGACAAGGCACAACTTAGGCATGCAAGCTTACAATCTACTGGCTAAAGGCACAGGACCGTTGTCTCTGAGCCATTCTCCAACAAGTAGTCATCTGAGAGTATCTTTGTGCATCCAGAGTAGCCAGCCCAGAGGCAGGTTGGATCCACTAGCTATTAAAAAAACCCAGAAGCATCCCCATTTGTCTCCACAGGACAGTGTGCACAATGGGGACTACTCAAGTAGAAATGGTAAAAATACTGTTATTGAACACTGAGAAAACATGGAGAAATGCATTGTGGAGAAAGGTCTGCATGGAGAGTAACACCTTGCTGAAACAAGGAGACACAGCTCCCTAGAATGGCATACCTTTTCCCCCTTTATTTTACCTGTCTTCTCTTTTTATTTATGGCTTCAACAGATTTTGGCTTCTGTGTTTGAAAGTACTTAACTAAAACAACTGTGGATGGTGCAGGGAGGGAATGTACCATACAATAGCACCATACACCATGGTGGGCAATAGAGAGTTACTATTCTAACTTTAAAGTTTTCTTAGCTTACGCACTAAAAGCACTAACAGTTTCACTATATGTGAATTACACATGCCATATCAACATTGTCAGGAAGACCCTATTATGAATATGTTGCAAGCTATGAAAGTTCATCTTTTAATTCACACCAGCCTATAAACTGGCATATTTCTGGCTTTGCTCAATGTTTTTAAGACTGAGATTACAGCAGAATGTACTTTTGTGAGGTTTTAAATACCAGTCTCTTCAGCAAATATGGCTGAATTTTACAATTAAAGACGGTGATATGTTCTTCAGTGCATTTTTGATCTTAAATAGATCACGTTGCTTGTGCAAAGCACACTGGACATACAATTTTGGCACAAGAGTCCTGGAATAAAGGATGAGTTAAAATTGTTCCTCAATCAGAAGTTGTCAGACAATAAAGAGACTTATTAAGAACCACAATATTCAATTGTATACTCACTTCAGGAGAACTGCTGCCTGGGCAGAGACCGGTAGGCAGGGCAGGGGGCAGGAAGGAGCCGGGAGGCACAGGCAGGCAGGGCTGGGCCGGACCCGGCAAGGCAGTGGGCAGTCGGGGGAGGGCAGGGGACGGCCGCGGCGGGGGCTGCTGTCGCCGCACCAGTCCCCCGGGGCCAGCCCGGGGTCTCGCCGCTATGCGCGCCGCCCACCGACCCCGCCGCCGCCTGCCTCAGTCAGGCGGCAGCGCAGCCCAGGATCCCCCCCCCCGCTGCCGCCCAATCGCCCGCCCCCGGTATGGCAGGCCTCGCGCCCTCCCCTTCCTCCGCCCGCCCCCCCCCCCCGTCCGACACGGGACCGTTTAAGAGGAGGGGGCAGCAGCTGGAAGGCTTGGCCAGGGGCCGGGGCATCTACTGCAAGTGCTCTAGGGTTGGGTCGACTGGCGGGGGGAAAAGAAAAAAAAAAAAAAGAAAGGAAAAAAATAGTCAAAGGAGGGAATAAAAAAAAAAAAAAAAAAAAAAAAAAAAAAAAAAAGGAGTAAAGGGAGGTGTGGAAGCACCAGAAGAGAGAGAAAAAATAAAGAAAAGGGAAGGTGTTCCTAAAGTGTGCCGAGCCTGGGAGCGAGCAGGGATGGTGCACGCCGGCTGGCTTTGCCTGCTGCAGGGCTCTCTCCTCCTGCTGGCCAGAGCGCGGCAGAGCCGCGACCCCGCCGGCGGCTGCCCGCTCCACGGAAAGGTAAGCGGCGGCGCGGCGGGCTGTGCCGCCCGCAGGGGCGCAACGCACTGGCCGCTGGGGACCTCAACTTGGACGCTGCCCCGACCGCCCGGGAGCTGCGTGGGGCGGGCACGGGTGGGCACGGCACGGCCGTCTCTTTCCCTCGGGGGGCAGTGGCGAGAGGTTGGGGTGCGCGGGGCCGCGCCGGCCGCGGCTCAGCGCGGTCTGCGGCGCGCACGGGGTGCGGAGCGCGGGCGGCAGCCGCCCGGGCGCGGATGGCTGGCGGGAACGGGACGGGGAGAGGAGGGCGGTTCCTTGGGGCGGTGCGCCAGGTGGGACGACTACCGCTGGGTGCTGACGGAGGAGGGAGACCCCAGGATGAACCCCAGCAGGTCCTTTTCCCCGCGCTGTGCGGCGTGAGCTGCGCCGGTCGCAACAGGACAGGCTCGCTTGGAGTGACTTGCTGCCAGCATCCCTCGCTGTGGGTGGTGGCCTCTTGCCTCACTTCTGAACGCTGAGCGTTGTGGAGCAGGTTCGGACCGGAAAAAATGGCTATGCCCCTGAAGCGGATACGCGGTTCTAAGTTGTATTAGGGTTTGCTCGTCCTCTAATCTAAGCAGCCTGACTGTAGTAACCAGGAGCAGCATGGACTGACCTGGCTCTGGTCGGTGGTAAGGGAAGCTGAGGGTCCCTGCTGCAAGATAGGTGTGATGTTCTGGTCAGTGTGAAGCTTGCGAGCAGGTTGTTTTTTCCATTAAAAAATGAAACACTGAGAAAAAGCAGTTCTCGCTGAAGTTTCTGAGATAAAAGTACCAAAAATCATATAGAAGAAGCCTTCCTGAACTTGCTTTGTGTTAATGCATCTATTAGTGTTAACAGGCCATCCATGCTGTCTGTTGGCATCTGCTTAGACCTGGAAGCAGCCTAACTGGAGGTGCTGTGCACACCAGACACTCCTGGGACATGTGTCTCACCATTTGTGTTCACCTCCTGCCCCAGGCAGGGTTACCTCTTCCAGCACAGCTGTTAAGAGAACTGTAAGCCCTTAGAAGTAGAGAGTAGACCTGCTGCACTGGTGAAGTGCCAAAGTCACAGTGGGCTTACTGTAGGGTACGTGTTCAAGGGTGTATGTGAGGAAGCTTTGCAACTATGAAGAAGGTGTCATGGATGAGTGTTTTATGATTCTGCCAATTTGTTGTGCATCTTGACATACGATCACTTAAAGTGACTTAACAGAGTTCAGTGGCAAGGTTCACTCTTACTACGTGGAGGAAACATACAAAGGAAAATTGAGCTAAAATCTATTTAGATTCATTTACACAGAGATTAGAGTTGCAAAAAGGTAAGGTAGATCCTCCCATTGAGTGACTAGGTTCAGAATGGGCCCCCTAAACTCCTGATGGCGACTAGGTGAGTCTGGATCCAGACTTGGTCACTGGTTTATGGCTAAAGGATTTTATGTGTTTATGGCTAAAGAATTGTATGTTCACACCCAATTCTTTATATCACTTGGCTAAGATTTCAAAGTTTCATCATGCTTATTCCCAATTCACTTACCTTCTGTCTAAGTGTCTGGTGTTAGTTTGCTCCAAAGATTGAACTGTTCAATCTGGGCATCTAGTGATACTTTGGTCCAAAGTTTGAGGTTTCCCAAGACAGACCTTCCAGCATCAGATTTTATACAAATAAATAAGTTAATGGAGTGGTAAAGCAGCAGATCAGATTGAACTGGCTGCATCTGGAGAGGGGGGACTCAAACAAAGAAATCACAGGGCAATTGCAGATTACTCACCCACCTCTCATGTATTTTTCACACTCCTTCCATGTGCCCTTTGGTCCGATAGTGACTCTGGCCTGAGTTCTTCTGAGATCTTATTGGATTCCTTCACTGTCTTCAGACAGGCTGTTCATTATCTTGAAGGTTGTTGACGGTTATAGCCTCCTTATATTCTGATTTATGTTGGCTCTGGAGGCCCCTGTTTTGGCTAAGTAGGTACACATTCAGTAAATAGAAATGGAAATTTACAGTGTGTGGCCTAAGGTTTCAGCAAGTTTAGCAACTCATGCTAAGTAAGTAAGTAAGGCTAAGTAAACAGCATACTAAATTACACAACATTATAACTCACTTAAGTGATTCATTCTACTTAAAACTTACTTATTTAAGCTAAAAACCTAGTATCTCTTAACACTGAGAGGCGTCCCTGCTCAAGTAGAGATTTGTCTGGTGTACATTCCAGTTGCTGTCCAAGGACAACTCAAATTGGGCTCATCCAGTGATCTGTCACTGATAAAAGATCTCTGCCTCGAGGATCAACTTTGAGAGCATCCCAGCTCAAGGGGACATCACCACCATGCAGCCACACTGCCTATCAGGGGGAGCTCAAAACAGGCTCACTTAGGCTGTCATATGTATGGGGTAAAGTGGTTGGCTGGTAGTCAAATTGCATACAATGGGAAAGGTATGCACAGCTTGTTGCTCTGCTCCTTTGTGGGTTTCCTGTTGGAGTTCTTGGCCTGGCTACAGCTCAGGCCTCTACCTCCTTTGGAGCCTGTACCAAACTTGTTTGGTTAAGGGCAGGTAGGTTGAGTTCATCTGTCACAGAAGCTCTGCTCTGTAACCTTTCTTCGCTTCCTCAACTGCACATGCACCTACATGTAGCCCCTGGTCTAGGGGCCTTGCTGTCTCCAGCTGCACAAGCCAGTCCTCCTACAACTGTAGAGGTTGAAATGTCTCCTAGGATTTAGGAAGATTTAGGATTTAGTCAATTCAACCATATACCAAGCCACATGTGCCTTACTGGCACAAGCCTGAACTTGTGTTAGACAGACATTAACTGTACCTTGGGGAACAGAGCCTTACCAATTTGCTTGTGCCTGGGACCAGCTTGTCAACTGGATTTATAGGTGCCCAGCCATGACACTGCCATAAAGCCAGGTCAAGCCTATGTAGTGGGTGTGCCCTTCCCCTTGAGGTCATGAACTGCAAAAGCTGTGGGCTGGCATTAATCTACTGCAGGGAGCTAGTGAGAGCAAGAAGGAAGGGGACAGCCCCTGAGAGCCTGAGCAGCAGAAGTCATACTTGTGGAAATTCACTGATTTGGTGGGACATGCAGGGAGTTGTCCTTAGGAGCTATTGACTGGACTTCTGCCAGTTCCCAGTAAAAGTGGAGGTGAAATGCTTTAATGGTATCTCATTATCTGCTGATTACTGTCATTAAAATGTGAGACCACCTGTAGTTCTGGCATTGGCAGGCTGTTTCCTAGGGTCATTAGACTGGGAATGGCAATGTGTGCCTTATTTGCAAAGCTATTGAGTGTATCCTTATGAATATTTACACCAGCACCTTGCAAAAAAATATTCCTCCATGTCTCTGCATCACCAGGGAAGTCTTTTTTGTTTATTTTAATTATTTATGGGATCTCTTTTCTTACCTCTCTAGATTACAGGTATACCTTTCTTTTTGTCAGGTTGCCTAAAACTTCCTTCATGAAAGAAATATGTGCATCAGTGCCTGAAAGAGAGAAGCTGCTGTTTTAAGGAATGAATATGCAATACTTCAGAGGACTTTCACATCATCACTCTAAATTTATAGTTAAAGCTGCAACCAGTAATGTGCCCCATCATTTTTTAAGAGGAAGAAAAAAAGGTTTTAAAAACAGTTAATCTAAAATAAAGTATGCTGGAATCCTTTGGGTTACATTCCAGTTACTAAGCAATGTGGTCTGGTGCTTAACATTGGAGTGTATTGGTAAATTTAAAGTCAGAATCCAGGAATTAACAGCAGAATGCTTCTGGTTGTAACTGTTTAGTATTTTATGATGCATTGATCCTGTTAGGGGGCCAATTCATTTAAATGGCTACCTTTCCCCATGCATGCACTTCAGGAGAGCAAGTAATCTGTCTGCTCTCAACCCTTGGCTTTTTAGTCAAAAATTTGATTTTTTCATATCTGGCAAATAGAAACTGAATGTGTGTTCTTTTAATAGTTGTAGCCAGCGCAGTGTTTATCCCCAGGTGAGTTCTGCTTATAGTGTTAAGCTGAGTCTGAGAGTGTCAGTAATGCAGGTGGGCCAAAGCTCAAAGAATGACTATTAAAAACATTCATTTCTGTGTGTATTACCATGGATGCATGGGGCACTTAATGTGGTGAGTAAAGGCATGATCTTTGCCTCAATTAGGTATAAAGGAACATGACAAGATGAAACACCAGAATAGATAAGAAGGAGGGAGAAAGCCATGTAGGAAAGTTTATAGGGCTGCCTGCCTGGGTGAAATATTGCATGCCACATTGTCGTGGTTTGAGCCTGGTCAGCAGCTGAACACCACACAGCCACTCACTCTCCCTTCTCTTCCGGCAATGAGAAGGGACAAATGAGCCAGACTTGGGATTCAAGATAGGACCAGGAGGGGCAAATCACCCATTATGATCATGAGCAAAAGGCAGACTTTGTTAGGGGAAGTAAAAAAGAACATACATTTATTATAGACACTAACAACACTTAACAGAGTAAGACAGTGAGAAGCATTGCCACATCTTGAGAACACTGTCCCCCACCCCTCCCTTCTTCCTGGGCTCAGCTCTGCTCCTGATATCTCTACCTCCTCCTGCCAGTGGCGCAGGGGGCAGGGAATGAAGGGTGCAGTCAGTGCTGCCTCTTCTTCCATCTTTGGTGAGAGGAGCTTCTGGAATTTGTTCCCTCTGCTCCATCATGGTCCCCCTCTCATGGGAAACAGTCCTCCACAAACTTTCTCTGACCTGATTCCCTCCCACAGGTTGCAACATTTCCTTACACTGCTCTGACATGCTACACCGACTTTTTCCAACTGGAGTCCCTCACACAGGCTGCAGCCCTTCCCGAGCTGCTCCAGCGTGTGACACTCCCGCATGCTGCAATCCTCCCAGTGCTGAACTACAACAGTGGGGCTACCTTTTTCCACAATACCTTGTCCTTCTTCAGGCACAGTCACCTTGGTCAACCATGCGAAACCCCTCACAGGCCATAAATCAGTGTCTGCTCCA